GGGGGGGGGGGGGGGGGGGGGGGACTGCGGTTGGGAAACTGGCAGGGTGAAGCACTCCTCTCCAACTATCTTCCGAGGGGAATGGGAAGGGGTCGATGAAAAACTCTTCAACCTGCCGACGTCGACACACCGGTGCGAAGGGATCTCTACCAGGCTTGTATTTCCTGAAAACGTAAACCGTACGTGACATAAGGTATCACACCCCCTGGAGCGATTTTCAACGATCGGTTTTTCCCACGCAAGCAGTATGGCGGCATCGAAAACGGCGGCGTTGGAACAGACTCGTCGAGAACTTCCGAACACGTATCCCTTGACTTTACATCCTCTTCGTGGAGTAATCGAGCCTTGAAAATCGGCCCCAGGGGGTGTGCCACCTTACGTCACCTACGGTATGTTCCTCGCCACAAAACGCCAGGCACATCGGCCAGTGGGGGCATCGAATAAACGCTGCTCCCCCAAAACGCGCCAGCCCAGAAAGTCCAGCCTCGAACCAGTTTCGCGCTTTGGAGTCATTCACGTGGATCGGAATCACGCAAAGCATCGGAGGCTACGTAGGACACCACCACAACCCCCAGGACCGATTTTCAAAGCTCTTATCGCTATTATAGCAGAAAGAGTGGGGGCGATGGAAAAATGGCGGTTTGGGAACCGTCCCGTCGAGAGCTTAGCGGTATTCGTCTCGTTCGGTATATTCGTCCAAGGTTCTGCTTACTTGTCGGTCCGGGGAGTGTGGTATCTTTAGTCCCCTACGCTACTGCTGCGGTCGGCGGGAGGGGTATACCGCAGGTACACGCTGCTCGACGACGGCAAAGCATAGCAACAACCCATCATCGTTGGACGGAAACACGAAAGACACAGCCATAACAACAGCAAACAACGGCAACGGAAATTGGTAATTGCCTTACGGGTAATGGGCACTTGATCAGCAGGGCTCCGAACACAGCTGCCCCCTCCTGCAAAACCTCCGACAGCAGCCCGGTACGAGCCGCCTGCTTGTAGCGCTCAATGATAGAGTCGCCAATCTGACGCACGAAGACACCGGGCACGTCCGAACGAAGGAGGAAACAGTTTTCTGATTGATCTTCCTCTCTCATTCGCGGTTTGAGGTACACTACCACAAAAGGTTCTGAGCCGTTACATTTTTCATCCACGTCTAGGCAAAAAAAAGCTCGCTCCGCTCTCTCTGAAGCACGACTTAAACGGCGCCTTGCTCTCTACCCTTGCGACCATGCTTATTCCCCCGTGTCTCTCCGTCTGCCTGCCTGCCTGCCTGCCTGCCTATGTGTCGTCTGGTCTGCCTGTCTTTGTTCCACTCTTCGATGGCCGAGGTCGTTCGATTCCGTCGGCACCGTTTCTCATACTTCGTACATCTATACATTGCCTCTCTCCGGTGACACTGTTGCAACCTCTCAATCCCCACTCTTTAGGAAGCACAAGACCCACACACGCAATGTCGCGCGGTGCGCGGAAGAATGTTGTCGGGGATATTTATGTGTCCATGAAAACAGTACAGTAGGGGGCCCTCACTATTGCCGATTGAATCATGCCGGTGCCCCGTATAGTGCCGGTAAAATATACTGACACGGATTTGAGCTGGTATAGTAAAACCTATATATTCCTCGATCCTGAATAGTGCCGGTATTCTGCTCTGGCACATACCGACACTATTGAGGGCCCCCTACTGTAGCCAAGATGTATCCCTTCTGCGGGTTCGCTGCCTCTCAGCGAACACATGCGGAAAGTTTCCCAAAGCAGTTGTTCAGCCCGACGCCCTACCGCTGCAAGCTGTCATCACCGGGACATGTAACTGCCGAGCTAGCTTCCCACAGGACTCACGCTTATCTCCTTGACAATCCCCGACAGCAGCTCCTCTAGCGAAACCTCCACCTTGACAACGATCTGCCGCCACCGTGCCTTCGGGACGCCGAGGTTCTCCCTGTTCCCCGGACTGAACCGAAATATGTCGAAAAGGTTCACTCTGACCCCTTCGAACGGACCCCCCCCCGCCGCCGCCCCCGCCCCCGGCCGGTACGCCCCCCCCGCCACACCCGCCCCTCCCGCGGCTGCTGCCTGTTCCCGCATTTTCGCGTAGAACGCCGTGGAGAAGAAATCACCGGCGTCGTCGGGGTGGGTAGACGGCCGTCGGCTGTAGGGCTGCCCGCCATAGGAGGAAGGGTAGCCTTGGTTTGCTCTCCTCTGGGGGGTACGAGGGGCGGGAGGGGGGGTGTACTCATGTAAACGCGCGCCGTGGTCGTTACACCATTGACCTCGCATTCCTACACTGCCGGGGCGGAGAGGAATACCGGGTTTACGCCGGTCCACGCTACGTGTCACAAGTACCAACCAGGAGCTGGACATCACCCTTGCTCCTTTGCTGTGCCAAACCAAATATGCCATGGGAGGATGGGTAATCGTGAGAACATGACCCTCGCGTATCTGCCGATGATCGACGGGGAGGGTGTCTACGATACGTACTCGCTCCGATGAATCGGGCCAAGGAGATAGATACCGCAGGTTCCGTGAGACACCACACACCCCCTGGAAAGATTCTGGAAGCTGGAATACTCCACGACGAAGAGGATGCCAAAACAAAATGATGCGGTTTCGGAAAGCTCTGGACGAGGCGATTCCAACGCCGCCATACTTTGTACCGTCACTGCTTGATGCTGCAGGATGGCCGACCTACGACCTAAGAAAAAACGGTCCAGGGGGGTGTGTTATCTAACGCCACCTACGGTAAGGAGAGGGTGATCACGTGGATTCCGACTGGCTTTACCGCTGTTCATGGAAGGGTGGAAGGTAGACAGACTTGGACGGGCAGACACACAATCACTTGGCTCAAGACCGTGCAGAGGTCTATTTGTCTCAAACGCACGCCCGGCTAAGAGTCTCCGACTTTTCCTCTGGCCCGAATGCACACCGACTCTTTGGAGGTGCGAGTACTGCAAGACCCTCCTGTGAATGAGCACGGCAACAGCAACTAAACGTTCACTTTTTTCTCCTCTCACCGAATTTCTGAGGGTATCGTCGTAGTCTCCTCTGCTCCTCGGGTCTCTCAATGTGTCGTAGGCCTGCGGCAGCATAAAACGACGCGGGCGGGGCCCTGTAAGGGCGTGTTAACTTAATGACACATACGTACATACGCCATCCAAAGACACGCACGGGCGTTGTAGGCAAGTACAAGCGATCCGAACCCCGCGCAAAAAACTATAACGTGGGCCGCCTTCGCGGGCAATATACTGCTAATCCTCAAACAAAGAGGGGGGGTTCGTATCCCTACCCCAACCCTAACCCGCAACTCTATGCCAAGACCAAGGAGAATATCCTCGCCAAGGCTGCTGCTGAACAAACTAACTGCCCCGGGACGGGAGTAGAGTGCGGGGAAATGCATGTAATAGTGCAAGTTTTTCGCGCTCCACCTCCATATCGCTCCGTCCCGGCATGAGAAGTCAGTGGTCTTCGCGACTACAGACGGTACGCGTTTTCATGAGTACACCCCCCCCCACCTCCTGTATCTCCTTGAACCTCTTCTCCGCCTGTTCGACGTTGCCGGTGTTCTTGTCCGGGTGCCACTTTACTGCCGCTCGCCGGTAGGCGCGTTTCAGGTTCTCGTCGCTAACCCCCGGCTCGACGCCCAGCACTGGAGGCAAGGCAGACAGACAGACCGAGATAGAGACGCGAACGTCGCAGAAACGTTCGACAGTTGCACGGCTAGTGTGTTCCGGACTACTGCCCAGCACCCGGTCGGAGTCTTTGCATATCTCAATATTTCTTTCCAGCTACACAGCGGTTTCAGCAGTTCAGAATAGAGTCCGGCAGTCCCAGACTACCGCCCAGCATCTGCATCTGGTCGGAGTCTTTGCAAGACTGTTTCCACCTGATGTACACAGCGGTATGAGCAGCCGAATGCTTGTTTTCTCCTCTTCTCTTTTTTCTCTTTTTCTCTCTTTTTTCCTCTCTTTTTCTGTGTCAGATGACCTTGTCTCTGCTTGCGTTGTTAAGTACCAAGATTGAACCAAGGGGGTGTACCTCTTTCTCTCTGGCCCGTGATACTGACTCCTAGTCTCAGTTGTTACCTCGCATAGCGCGCAGAGGGAGCGGAGGACTCCAGAATTGTTGTTGTCTTCACATTTAAAACCGTTCCGATCTCGCTCTACCCAGTACCTTCGTATGTCCGTACTGATCCAACACTCGACGCGGTCGATTCCCGTGGTCGCAAGCTATCTTACCCTAATAAGGTACACTCAAACAAAATGGCCCCGACGGGTCCGCAGGTCAATAGAAATCAACGCCAGATATTCTGGAGTCCTCCACTCCCTCTGCGCGCTATGCGAGGTAACAACTGAGACTAGGAGTCACCATCACGGGCCGGAGAGAATGAGGTACACCCCCTTGGTTCAATCTTGGTACTTCACAACGCAAGCAGAGACAAGGCCATCTGGCACAGAAACAGAGAGAAAAAGAGAAAAAGAGAAGAAAATAAAAGAAAACAGTACGGAAAGAGAAAAATAAATAAAAAGAGCGAGGACAAAAAGGGACCAGGCCGAAAACAACAAGAAATAAGAGACAGAAAAAGGCACACGGTGGAGAGACCACTAACAACAAGCAAACACGCAAACATGGCCACCAACCAGCGAT